CGTACTTTTGTCGCCTCATTTTTTTAGATTTTTAGCACATTGTCTGAGGTTCAATAGTTAATTTTTCTAGGTAGAAAGATAGAAAATTTTGCGCTCTATCGATCTCACTCATTTACAACCTTATACAATGTTTCCACTACGTCAGCTGATCTCATAATTAGTTCTCAACCGGCTTTTCAATTTTTTCAAATTAAATTAATTTTTTTAATTAATGGTTTCAATTGAGAAACTTTGTTTATATATCAAAAGACGCAGAATTTAATTCTATGTGAGATAATAAGACTAAAACCCTGGATTCAGAACGTTTTACTGCTTTTATAGTCCAAAAACTAAATTCTGTGAAAAATAGGTTCAAAAGTTAGGTTTTTTTTAGATTTATCAGCTTTTTGCACAGAAATTTTGCTAGACGATTTAACTGCAAAATTTCGAAAAATACGTGAGAAGATGCAGAATTTTTCGGTGAATCTTCTGATGTTTTGAAAAATCTTATAGAATCTACTTTTGGATCAAGGCAAATGTTTTTCTATTTCCAGTGTGTCGCAGTTCGACAACTTAGCACTCTTCAATATTTTGAATAGTGCTTAAACGAGAAAAATGTTCTCAGAGATTCAAATAGTAGGTTTTGTAGAGCTTGAAATTCTCTACCTTTTGGTATGTAAAGAAACTTCTAATTTGAAGAGGAAGTACGAAAAAAATGCAGTAACATTTAGTCCAGCTTATTATGGCACACCCGTTAGTGAACATCTACAGTAGGTAAAATAACCCATTTTTGGACATTTTCACCGAAAGTCAAGAAAATTTCATTATTCAGTCAAAACTGATCCAAACTACCCTAGAATTTCAAAATATACCCCCGTTTATCTGTCGTACTTTACGAATCTCAACAAAAGTTGCAAAAAGCAATAGAAAGTAGTGTTTTTTAAAAGATTTTGCAGAGATCTTTGGAAGGGAGTGTTTTCTTTTGAAATCTCAACTACAAGACCAGATTCAGTAAACAAGATGGAGTATCTTTTGTGGACTTGTAGAGGACGCCAAGAGCTATCATTTGTATATTTCAGACAGTGCAATAGAACATTAATCAGTGACAATCTACTCTGTCAAAGGCTTGTCAGGTACACCATCTACAGATGGTACCTTCGGCATTATTTTCCATAGGATTATGCCTCCAGATTCTTGCTACACACTGGCGACAACCACATTTTTTTATCAATCTTTGTTCGAGAGTTATTCAAAAAGTAATTGAGTGTACTATATTTTGGTATAGATAGTAGTCTCAAAAAACGTCTCTAAGTAGCATAACATGTTGTCTCTAGATCAGAATCTCTTTTTTTAATTGTTCTGTAGTTTCTTATCTAGTAACACAAGGTTTTCATCATCATGTCTGAAAATATTGATACAGTTGAGAAATTGAACAGCTATACATGAACATCAGACAACATTTAATTGAATGAACATCACTCGTTCCGCTTATTTTCTTTATCAAATGAGTTTTTCTTTTATTTAGTACATATCTCTATTATTTATTTACATGTACTCTAAAACATGCTAATCGAACTGTAGCATATATATGTTAATTTTAAGAAAATAATCAATAATTAGTTCATTAACGATGAAAATTTTGAAAATGATTATTTTCAAGCGAAAATTCGAGCATCAAAGGAAAACTAAATTAAACATTCATCATAGAATGACGTTCATTTTTTGAAAAATAAAACTAGATTAAAAAGCTGAAAAACAGTTCTAGATGATGCACGACCGTATTGCGATGTCGTATCCCCATAATTAAATATAAACTTGCATATATTTCTGTTGTTATTAATGTCAGACTGTGGATCCTGTATTCAAGTTGATTTTAATAAAAATCTTTCTTTTCTTAAACATGAAATTTGTTGTACATATACAAAAATCCTCTGGGATGCATAAATTAGACAATAATCATTATTTCTTCTTTGTGACATATTCACCTTTTCAGACATGCATGATCATCATCTAAAAATCTCAAGAGTAACAAAACATGACATGAACTTACAACGGCTACTAATCAACAAATTGAATGAATATTTAAAATTTAGACAAACGGTAAGAAAGCCGGCTCAACATATAAAACACTTAAATCTAATTCATTTATTTACTTAATATTTTAATGATGAAAAAAAGTAATTAATTAAAACTATCTGAGGAAGAAATGTCACATTGGAACAGATTTTTGAAAGAGAAATTAGTGACATAGAACTAGCCATCTCTCTATCCTGAATTTTTATGTTGATTATGTAGTTTGAGATATACTGAACCTGTTCTTACACCTGTCAAAGATTAAAGTTCTAAAATTTCATATATAAGGATAAATTTACATATTATGGCGTAATATTCTCTCATTTCGATTAATGTCTCTTGTCATCTTGCTCAGAATGAAGTGCGAACAGATAGCTGTTTGTTCAAGTCATCTCTTTTCACTAGGATAAAAATTGTTTATCTATTACGATGTCTAGAAACGTTATATTTTTTCCATTATTTAACAAGAAGATATATGATTATGATAAAAAATAGAGTGAGAGAGATATAATCGTGGTCATGTCTATATACTTAATATATGTTTATTAAAGATAATAGTTCGTTTAAACAATGTGTCAGCTTACACACTTTGACAAAGATCATAGACTAATTAGTTATGACCTAAATATTATTATGAGCGTATCTTTATAAAATACAATTTTCTATTTAAGTCTAATCATTTTATTTTCAAATGACTGATTATTGATGAAATTTCCTATTGAGTTATGATTTAAACTTCTTTTGAATATTTTAGGTCTACAAATGACTCCCTCAATTTAAAATTTAAAACGTGTTTTTTTTGTTTTGTTGTTGTTATAAACTACATTATTCTTTTATAAAGGCGGAGTCAAAGTTAATAGGTCTATTAAAATCGTATAATCATTTAGTAAAATAAGTCTTGTGCAACAATTTCTTCTATAGTTTATATTGAAAATAATTTTTATTACTTTGGAGTACTTGCTCATTTATCATTCTTACACTGTATATACATCTCTCTTCTTTGTATGGAATAGTATAGTTATAAAACAAGTCAACTATCTACCTAATCAAATATACAATAGTTTCAATTTATAATGTATATATAATTTCTTTGTATGTTGCAGTTCATTTGGGAAATTGTATATTTTTTTTTTTCTTCTTCGTCATATTCTCTCTCTCATTATATAATTGTTAATATTTGCTAATCATAAATATTTAACGTATTAGAAAAAGAAAGAGACTCGATTAATTGTATGTGTGTGTGTTACGTGTAGTGTTTAATCAAATATGTCATTTTAGAGAACATATGCCCGTATACACATGAATGATTTTTCTGGCGGTAATGTTTATGTCATGTTTACTGTTGAAAAAACGCTGTTGTATATTACGGAAGAATGAATATGCCTAGACGACCAGTCAGTATCATATGCCACAGAAGTTGAAAAAAACAATTATTTTTCAAGTATATATTTAAAATTAATTAACTAGATCATTTTGAATCACCTACACAAAGAATATACATTGTGTGAATAAAAATTTAGCTTATATAGTCATAATAATAATAAGTAAACATTTTTTAAATTTAAAACAATTGACAGAGATTACAATCTTTACATATGTAATATTATATGACTAATGTGAAATGTATGATTTCTACTAAGAAGAATTTGTTTTAAAAAAGAAAATATATTATTTCATTTTAAATTTGTATATACAGATAAAGATGTGATTCGACCTTATATGTTATGTCGTAGATGATCTCAGTAAATTTCAATTTACCTTTTATATAGACATTGGGACAACGATAATCATAAATTTTCGGTATTTTTTTTATTTTATCAACGATATATATATATATATAGACTGTCTAAGCACTGTCTGACGTATACATTGAACACATATTCATATTTCATATATATTTCTATTTTCTTAAAGTATACTTTAAGAATGTAATTCTTGTTCTCAAAAGTGTTTCATAGAAGATAAACAAAATATTTAATCGTTTTAAAATAGAATATATATTAAAAATAATTTAACAATATCTAAAGGAAATAAATTTTCTCTAATGGATCTAAACAATATGATTTTTTTGTTAGAAAAATTTCCTGAAGTAAAATGGTGAAAATTGACAATATACTTTTAAAAATGATTTTTATTTTCTCTGTAGAATTGCGTGTATTAATGAGAGGGACAATTCTAAAAAACAATCAATCATAACGATTGTAATATCCTGTTATTTTTCATTCTAATCTTTTTTTTATTTTTTTATCTTAAATACAATAGTAAAACAGCTTTATGATTTATTCAATCAATCTTCTGCATTTTCTCTTCTTGAACTTGTTGATAGATGTAGTCTGTCAAAAATCATTAGCATAATGATTTTTAAAAACAAAGAAAAGAATAAAAAAAAAGAATGGTTGTTTGTCTAGATGTCGACTATTTAATTCGAATATATTTTGATCTTTCTACTGTTATTTGATATTTAATCATTAAAATGTACTGTTTCAGTTATCCACATGAAAAACAAATGTGTAACATAACACATTTGAAAATTATCATCAGAATTCATAAACAAAGTTAGGAAAGAGAACAGTTGATGATTTAAATAGTGAGGTAATGAAGTACAAAACTGTTATAAACATGATTAACTAATCATAATTTATTTATTTCATTGATATTTCGACAGAATCCACTGTTATCATCAGAATGAAAAAAGAAAAGTGTAAGTGATTGTGTCAGAATGAAGACTATACATAGTCAAATATAGAATGAAAAAACGACACGTCCAGTCTGTATATGAGTAGAGTTCTTAAAGAAGCGGTTCTTTTAAATTATGATTAGTTAATCATGTTTATAGCAGTTTTGTATTCCATCACCTTACTATGATAATTCATGTTGTTCAGATCAAACGTTTAGAGAACATTGTTGATGCACGAGGCTAAAGACTCACTTAACGTGTTTAAATGGAATTAACCTATTAAAAAATATACAATCTTACCTTGTTTATCCACTTGAAACATGTTATTGTTATTAATAGTTGTCTTATTGGTATTTGTCGTATTTTCATCTAATATTTCGATATGATCAACATTTACAGTTACACTACCACCATTTTGTACTCGTTTCAAAATATTTGTAATAACAGAACCAACAGGTAACGATTCGTTTATGACTAAAGAGTAGGCAGGTTCATTGATTAGCAAAGGATTTGATGATTTATTGACTCTTAAAACATGAATAAGAATATAGGTACGATTCGATAAACTTCTTTCATCTTGCACTGTTAAACTAATGTTAAACGTTTGATCAACCGATAAATATAGATTACGATGCAATTTCAAGTAACCGAGTGTAGACGATATGTAAACATAAGGATTTGGTTCTAAAGAGTAAAGTAAGGTGGAATTATCATCCAAATCTAAAAAAAATAATAAATAAATATAAATAATTTTAGTCAAAATAAGTTTATTTTTTATCTACCATTAGCAATGATTTGTCCAAATACAGCATGTTTTGGCATATCTTCCCACACGTCAAATTCATAATGTGTCAACGATATATTCTGATAGACAAATTGTGGTACATTATTATTGGATCTGACAATATTTACATGAAGTGTGCATAGTGTTTGTTGTTGAATTGATTGTCCTTGATCCGATAAAATAATATAGATCAAATTTAAAGATTCTTTTTGTTTCCAATCAAATGGTTTTATTAAATCTAATTGACCAGTCTGATTATTAATATTAAAATTATTAGAAATAGATAAGAATGAATAAATAATTGTACCATTTTCGCCTAAAAATATAGAAAAGACACTTTTTCTTACTTTTATTTCAAATGTTGTTGACATTTTGAATCTTTTTAATTACCTCTATCCGGATCATAGCCATTCATTTTGAAAATATTTGTCTGAATTTTATTTTCGTCTACATTTATCATAGAATGTAAATGATCACACTGTGGTGAATTATCATTCGTATCTTCAACATAAATTTGAACTTTAATTTTTTTTTCATATTTAAAAATAATATTAAACAATTCCATATTCAATATCTGTTGAATTTTTAAAGTATACATTTGTTTTAGTTTTAATTCAACATAAAATTCATATAATGAACGTTGCTCACGATCAATTTTACCAATATTAAAAATTGTACCATCATCCGAAATTGAAAATGGTGGTAAATTTATTTCATTTGAATCGATAACAAAATAAAATAAATGTAAATTGAAGAATATTGATGATAAATACGAATTATTAGTAATAAGTTGTTCGTTAGTGTTATGATAAATATTCAAATGTCCAACAAACGATTCAAACGGTAAATTTTCATCAATGTGAAAGATGATGATATTTGATGAATAGTGAAAGCCAAGATTCATTTCAATTGTAGTTAAACTGGACGGTGACGATGTAGACGTCATAATCGTCATTGGCACTGTACTAAAATTTATTAATGATTCTGAACTATAAAAGAAAACACCAACCAACCAAAAGTCAATTTGTTTCCATAGATATATGTCTGTTTTTAGTTATCAAAAAAAACAAAAAATTCATACCTATTTGAACTCATTGTTGAAATATTATATTGTCTATACTTTTTTTTCCATCGTCTTGTATAAAATAATTTTAATTTTGGTCGAAATGATGACTGAATATCTCGTCGTTGTCTACGATCATATTGTACCACATGTAAATGAATTAATAAAACATCTTCTAAACTAATCGGTTGTCCCCAATCAAAAACTACTACATCAAAATAATAATCTTCTTTTCTAGGTGTTTTTATCATTGTTAATGTGCCATTCATCGAATCAATGATAAATGGAAAATTATCTTTTTCATCTGATCGAATCATGTACGATATTCTACCATTTGTTTCCTTATTTATATCATCATCAACTGCTTTAAACTGATACATATCTAGAAATAGATGTGTGTACAAAATCTCAAGTAAAAAAAGAAGTGATTAAAAATCGAAAATATTCTATTCTAGATTGAAAAAATAGTGATGATTGTTGTATAAAATTTGTTTGTTTCTAATTATATGATTTTACCTTCAAACTTGATATTTGTTTGTGTTGTTAAAAATTTTGGTCGATGATCATTTTGATCTTGAATTATAATTTCAATCGTTTTTATTATAGAATATTTTTTTAATTTTAATTTTAAATCTATTTGAATATCTAATTGAAATGATTGATATTTTTCAGCATCTAATAATTCAGCTGTTCGTATAACACCCGTTGTTTGTTCAATATAAAATTTTGATATTTGTAAATCATCTTCACCAATTAGTTTATATTTAAATTCAAACTCATTATTATCTTCTGTTAAATCAATTTTTGTTACATACGTATTAATTGGTACATTTTCATTAAGAATAATTTTATCTTTTATAAGAAATTTTAATGATGGTGGATCGATGAATGATGTTAGACGATAAAAGAATTTTTGACATTGATTACGATTTTGAACACATAACAATAGAATTAAACGATAATCTTCTAATTTTAATATTAAATCACGAGTAGTCGGTCGATCTATATAAATATTTAAATTTTCAATATAAAATTTAATATCATGCGATGATGGTTCAATTATAAATAATTCTGAATTTTCTACTGTTTGACCTAAAAATGGAAAATATATTTGTACATAACATTGACTATCAAAAAACAAAAAAAAAAGTCTATAATTTTCTTAAATGATTTTTACTCCTACCTTCAACGTACAACAGTGGCCTATAAGAATTTAAATAATTCCAATTTTTATACTGATGTACTGAAACATTAAGATCATTGATTGCTTCATAAAATATCGTTTCATTTGTATATAAAATTGTTGCATTTTCTCTTGTTTCATTTCTTATCCATGTTTGTTGTTGAATAAATTCTAATTTTACTTGTGTTTTTGTATTTGTATTATCTCGTTTTCGTCCTCGATCATAGGCTAACACCGAAAATTCATATGTTTTCTTTTTTATTTTCTCGTTCAATAGATAAAGATCACCCGTTAGAGGATGTAAAGAAAGATCTTCTAGACGTTCACTTATTTCATACAAAATTTGTGCATTTTCAATTTCATCAGCATCACTCGCATGAAATTTTAGAAGAGGTAATGATTTTTGATTCTCTGATGAAGTATTCAATGTAATATTTTGCCGATAATAATCGATATCAAATACGGGATCGTTATCATTCGCGTCAGCTATGCGGATTTGAATCTCAAAGAATACAAGACAAAAAAATAGAATATAGAAGAAATAGTTGACTTGATCGGAAGTTGACAATTCTTCCGAGTGTCAACGATTCGTGTACATTTCGTCAAAGAGCATAGAAAGCATGTTTTACTAGAAACTAGTTTAACGTACTTTTAAAGAAGAATAATGTACATGTAAAGAGGTTTTTTCAGCGTCGGAGAATTAATGCATCACAAAAAAATGTTTGATGCTTCTTCTGATCCGAGTGGTTCTGACGGAGAAGAAACACGAAAGATTTCCTCTTTCTTACTTTTTCAGAGACTTTATGAGAAATTATATGGTCTGGTTTTTTCACTTTTTTTTTCCAATTACTCACTTTAAAACCCTACTAATTAATTTTGGAAAGCTTAGTGCAGTACTCTAAGTCAGACAGATGATGCTAAAAGTTTGACTCCCTTTTTTGATACATAATTCGTCTGCTTCTAAGGTATTCAACTGTCATGTAGATCAGTTCACACTGACGACTATTCTTGATTAAATGAGAATATACTACCATACCTCTGCTTCATCTGTTGCTATATCCGTTGGAAGAAATGTAATGTGTGCTCTGACTTTAATTGTATATATTTGCTGATATTCTCGATTAATTTCAAGCGGTCTAGTAATATTTAAAATTAAAAAATAAAAATCTCCCAAACGTTTTGATTTGACCGTAAATAATTTCTGATAATCTGTTTGTTCGACGATTGAATATTGAACTTGTTGTTGTGGTCGTTGCCGTTGAATTCCAATTCTTGATGATGGATAAACAAAACTTGATGAATATACAACGTTCTCTTGACACCATAATTCATACGATGTTTGAGTAAAATATGTTGAAGTACATTCAGAATATAGTAATAGGAGTATACATATCCATAAATAACATTTCATAGAAGAAAATTTAGTCGGAAACTCGATTAATAAATAACGAATTGGACCAAACAAATAATAATTAAACATTTAGAAAAATTCTACATTTACATCTGAAATGAAAAAAGAAAAGTTTATATTTAACAGATTATCAGTTCATATTTGTTGCTTTTAAGAGTTTTAAACTGCGTTTAAAGCTTAAAAATGTCAACATTGTCAACTCTGTTTCCCAACTAGAACTTATAATTTGATTATTAACTCAAAAAGAAAAAAAAAGAAATTCAACCAAAAATTGATCGGTTTCTTACCAATACCATAATAGGATTCTCTGTGGTTTTTTCAAGGTTATTGTATAATAAAATAATAGATTTATTCTAATTCATATACAATTTTACTGATTAATACAATTAGTTAGTCTGTACGTCGCGTTTTATGCGGTTGTTTTTCGTGAGAAACAAGACGACAATAATTTTATTAAATTTTAAAAGAGATAGACTATACAGATAGTATGATGTGTGTGAATCATCATCATACTTTTTAGTTCAGTTAATTAAGAGAGAGAGAAGAAAAAAAATATTGGATTCTACATATTTCACACACCATACAATTGTACATGAGTTTCTCTAACCCACACACACATTGAACGGAACACATTATAGACTGAACAGTTCACTGTTATCTGTATATGAGAAAAAAAAAAGAAAGAAAGAAAGAAAGAAAGAAAAAGAATGAAATGTTCATCGTCGTATGTTAAAAGATATCTTTGCTTTTCAACGGCAAGTGACAAGAAGGAAAAGACAATTTATTTTTTCTCATACTTACTCTAGAATTCTGTATGTCAATGGTCCTAATTAAAAACATAGCGTCAGATATCTGGTTCAATGACCATTACTACCAGGTGACAATGATTGTCATTTCTTGATAAAGAAAAACGAAGCGAAGATTGGTCTTCTTGTACATATGTCAAAGAATCGATGGCGTTCGTGTCGCAATTTTGAAGAGGAAATATAAATCAATTAGGATTATTTTAACAGAAATAAACTCGATCGATTTATCTTAGAACAATGATATATTATAAAAAATAGAATTTACTTTCTCATAAGAATTTCTTTACCACATTAATCACCAAACGAGAACTTATTCAAGCACAATTATTAGTTGAGAATTTTAGTTCATCTACGATCATATCATTTCTCACACAGAGAGTGATGATACCATCAATTAGAGTTTCACTCTTTATACAAGAATTTTGCTTCAAATGTACAGTAATTTTGAATATACGAACATTTTACTTTGTTTGCATGAAACTTTAGCTTTTATCTATGAGAAGTTTACGCAATTCATCAATATTTGTCCACACTCATCTAAAGTTTTTTAGTTTTGTTCACATTAAAACTCGACTTCTACCATGGTTAAATTCTAAAGTTCATTTCATAAATTTTGGTAAAATTCGTTTGAAAATTATGAATAAAAATTGATAATAAAAAAAACTCATCAAAAGTTAGTAAAACAAGTTTTGATCTACTTGTTTTATATGTCTTATGTAATATTTTACTAATCGTAAGATGAAATAAAAAGATAATGTTTGGCCCTTGATGTAAGCATTGATTCTACGATGTCTTTCTTCTCATTATAAATTTGAATACACACGGTTCATATAAACTTTTATAATATTTTTCTCATTTTTCTATGACATAATAAGTAAAGTATATTCCTATCTTTTCTTTTTTGTACTTTATGTTGGCAGGTGATTTTTAGTTACAAATGGATTAATACTTTTAAAATAAAAAAAACGAGAAAAAAAATTTTCTTTGACAGTTATGTGATGATTTATGTCAAAAATCCATGCAAGACATTTGCATATCCGGTTGATAATGCCTTCTGGCATTTTTTTCTAAAGTATACTTGGATAAAATGGACTCTACTTTTCTCTCTTCCTCTCCTTTTGTCGGCACTGTTGTTATTATTATCCACTTGAACACCAAAAGCACATAGTACACACTGTTCGTTTTTCAAGAATAAAAAAAATACAAAGAAGAAAGAGGAAGGAAAAAAAAAACATTAGCTTCTTTCGAAAACTAATGATGCTTATCCTTTTTAAGATACAGATAGGCACAAAACAAACTCATATCACACATCTTTCAATTGAAAAATCTTATCAGTTGACTCAAAGAAAATCATGTTAATAGAACAGAAAATTAGATTCTAGATTAGTCTTATATCTGCACGTTGTACAACTTTCTCTCTAACGGCAAAAGCACAAATTCGAAACTGTAAAATTGAGATTCGTATTACCTTGGGTGGAAAAGTAAAACTCAAAACTCTATAATTATCATCGTTTGTCAATTTACTCATTATTTATTACTTAGTATAGTAACAGCAGAATGAAGTTTGTCCATAATAAATATCGCGAGAGAGAGAAATTGTTGTGAATTAATTTGGAAATATAAATAGTTGCTAGTAAAATTTGATCTAATTACATTTAAAAATTAAATTGATATGTATGGAATAATAGAGACAAGTATAAATATCACTTGAACTATGTAGAAGTTATGTAGATGCGTAAATGAGTTCTAGTGCTTTTATTGTTGAAAAATGGAGCATAGACGTTCTGTGCCAACCGAAATATTGCTAATGGAAATAGCTTTGGTATACAATGAAAAAATTCATTTAATCAGATTCACACGTTTGAGTATAGAAGATCAAAGATGGATGTGGATTATTGCTGGAATTTATTATAGCCTATTAAACATATTCGCCATAGAAATATATATAAACAGTTCAACTGTAGAAATAGATTATTGGATGTTGTCTTGAAATAGTTTATATCCATTTCAAGTTCTTTTTTCACTTCAAAACGCATGATCGTACACTATATAGTCTAAGCAAATCTCATAAACACCATATTGTACACTGTTTCACACTTAATAATTACTATTCTCGCTTTCATTATATTAAATTTAATTCTTAACTGTAGAAATGTTTGACTTTTCATGAATAATTCATGTCTACCCAATTATAGTCTTACAGGAAGATAACGAAATAAATAGATACTATCAGTGAAGATTGAACGTGTCCTGTGTTGAAACATGTCTGTATGAACAAAATTTTTTTAAAAAATACATTTTAATTTTATTATTTCTTTTAGAAAAAACAAATATACAAAAAAATTAATCATCATTTAATGTCGTACGTAGCCAATAGCCACAACATGACGACTCCTATTACATTAAATCATCCATCTTTATTTAAACTTTCTCTACATCTACATTAATTTAACACATACAATACACCCAACTTTCACATAAAAACAATAGTAACGATTCACTCCATTTCGTGCATTCTAATGAATAATATGACTCATATACATCACTCTTTTCTAGAGCAATAGCAAAACTTTTTATCTATTCAATTCTTATGTCAACAAATAATTTCTCAAAATTAATGTATGTTTACAAAAGGAAATATAAATCCGTTATACTATTCTAAAACTTAAACTATCGAAAATTATAAAATTGATCTTGTACGTTCAGTGGTGTCGTACGCCAACTATAAATTTTATTATTGAATTAAATTAAAATTTAAATAATAAAATATTATATATTTTTCTCACTATATACATCAAAAGTGTACATTTACGCAGTATGAATTTTATTATTGAAAGACGTATGCTTGACTAACTGCCACACATACTCGATGATCTATTGCTAATGAAAGTTTTATTTGATGATAAACAATAGGCAATGATCCAACTTAAAATTGTTGACTAGAATTTCAAAGTTATCTGATTAAGCTTAACTTATTATCGAAAGTTCATCTTGACTAGTCGTTGTTTTAAGTGGCAACAATACAGTCACTATCAAAATACATAAGCGCGTTTTCTACAATTTTTCATGGATATAATCACCAACATGATCATAATCATAAATGTGCTTTAAGACTCAGTTGTTAAAATTATAACACTGCTCATATATCAAAACAGTTAGTTTAGAAAATGAAATTTATAAAGAATACAATGGAATATTTAAAAAATTGAAATTTAAACGTAATCGTTCTTCAGATCATCATGTGCCCATTTTGTTGACGAAACATGATTGAATACAGTACTATTACTAGAAGATCTAACTACTTACATATTTCATAACACATGTACAAGCTATCTACATGAATTGTTTGTTCACATCAAGAAACATTTAGCACGTTAAATGAAATTGTAGTAACAAAGATCACATATTATCTTTTAGAAAACCTTTAAGTTTCTTCACATCTCACTGTAATCTACGTTCTTAAAACAGCAAATTTCTATCCAACGAGTTTTCATAATAGTTAAATTAAATTATCAAAAGATAAAAAGTGTGATGATGGTTTAGCATCTATAAACTTTACTTTTTTTTTGTTCTATTTTTCATAGTGTGTAGTACACACACTCGAAATTTCACTTTTAAATCTTAAATTCTTCCAAACAATTTCTGTGTCAGTCTCTAACATGTATATGTATATGAGTGTGTAATCAAAATGGTCATATTACGTTGAAACATTGTTGAATAGTAAAATTATTTTATTGTCTGAGTCTTTCTCGCTCGCTGCATGCATAGTGAATGAACGAATATAAAAAAGTATTTTTTGAAAACAGAATAATAAGATGATGGTAATGTTTAAAATAACTTAGTAAACATGGTCAATTGTATATATGGAGAAGCGAAGAGAAGAATTGGAAATATGAAACTTAAAAATAAAACTTATTTTATTGGCAATGTTTTGTTAAATATATGTCTATGTATAGAGAACGAAATATATTTGTCCCATTATAATAGAGATGAGTCGTTGTATATGACCCAAATTTATCGTATATGGTAGTTATTTTTTTAGAAAGAAAAAAACGAAAATTTAAATTTTATCGCACGTCAAGGTTATGTACGTATAAAAGGCAACACGATTAAGCATAAAATAGAAATAATTTTTATATTTTTGTTAATTGAACAAAAAAAAGTCTTAGAATTTGTGAATGACAACATTTCTAA